CCACCATTGACCAACTCTACCTTAACCACCAACTCTACCCTCACTGATTATTTCATGATCATTGATCAGATTGAAACTAGTGCCTTGTTTGAATCTGCCATTACATCCCAACAATATGCTATTGAAATAGATCATCTCCTAGGAGAAAGAGGGGCAATCTCTAGTGGACTTATTATCCGAATCATCAGAGATGCTAGTCTAATCGAATGCACCACTAATCTTCTCAACGATGACCATCACAAAACCATCTTCTGCCATCTTCATATATGTATTCGTAATACTGCAATCCATCTGTTGCCTGATGATACTAAGGAAGCTATCAGAGAGGTTATCCACATCATCACTGAACAGATTGCTATGAACCCAGTTGCATGACCCCCATCCCCACATATTGCCATTCCAATCCCACCGCCAGTTCTTCTGACAGCTACCACTGAACATTTGGATGATAATATCCCTCCTATTGCTGTACTTGACATACCAGCTTCTCCATCTCCTACCCCCATCACACCCACTACATGTCAATACCCTACTAGGTGCAGATCTGCCCATATTGCCAAATGCACAGTGTCAGCTTCCCCACACAGAAACCATAAATGATGATCCAGATCCCCATCTCCACCTGCACAGCTGTCCACTGTCACCACTGTAAAGACAGCAACCATCAACAACATAGTATGTCGCAACTGTCGCATCGCCAGGCATCACCATAAGAACTGCCCAGCATATTATTGTCGGGTTTGCAAAGAGTATGCACCCAGACATCTATTGGTCTTTTGTAAAGACTTGAAAGGCAAAGTGATCATTCCACTGGTTTGGACTGACACAGGTTTCTATGAAGCCCTCACTCATTGGGAGATCGAGCAGGACACTATTTATCACACTGCCGAGATGGCTGATAAATTGTATACCATTACAGAGGAGCAAAACAACTTGCTAGATTCTAACTATGACACTGACCCCATCTACTGGGCTAACCAGGATAACTAAAGTTGGTGACTTTGTCTCTAAATGAGGGGTAATGTTACAACCATGTACACCCCTATTCATTTCTCCTTTATTACTGTGTATTACATCATGAGCCGCATGTTGCTGCCACTAGACTTATCTTTGACTCATGCCTTGTATTACATCACAACCACCATTGCCATTGCTAGATGATCTATTCTTGCTATCACTTACACATTTCTTATCTCTAACTCTTCCTGCTCTCACATCTGCCCTAAAGTACAGTAGTTCACTATAAATAGGTCTCCTGTATGCTTTAGCTCTCTACTTTAATCCTACTAGGTTTTACCCTGAATATCCTTCACTTGAGACCTCCAATCTCTTGTCATCAGAATCATATCTTAAGTTGAAGGCACTCCCTTTAACTTAGCTTACACTGAATGCTTGACTTATTGTCTTGTGTAAAGAATCTCAACAGAGGTCCTTGATTCTTATCAAGTTGTCTGTTGTTCAAACTACCCTAGTTTGTAACACTCCCAGTAACACTGCTTGAAATCGACACCCTAGGTGTAGCTGCTCTGACTTGCATTTCCTATGGCTTCTGGCTGAATAAGCCAAAGGATGTACGATTTCCTCATATTGTTCATTGGAAGGACCCAACTGCTCCTCTACCACCTGGCAGCTTAGACAGCAAGTACATCATTATCATCAATATTCCTGGTAGAACTTGTTCTGATTTGTCTGCATTCTATGTAGCAAGGAACATGGCACATTGTCAATCCTTTGGCTACTATTCAACTACAGGACCCAATGGTCTGGTGGCTTGACTCGGGAAAAGATCATGGTCATCATTGGATGCATCAGTGGTATGGCGTTTGGGGTGATACATTGCCTGGGCTGGAATTTCTTGTTTCCGAGACATGCAGAGCAGATATTGTGGCATGTGGCTTCCATTGGGATACCATACACATTTTCAGGAATTCTTCAAGTTCCTATTCTCCCACATTTTCTAGAAAGGCTGCTGCCATCAGAGTTGATTGACAGACAGACATCGGAAAGGCTGCCACCAGAGTTGGTCGACAGACAGACATTGGAAGGACTGCCATCACAGTCCATTTATATCTACAACTGGATATTGGGTGCAGAGATACACTTGCTGGATATTTTGCTGAATATTCCAATTTCATTGTACATCATGATCCTCTATATTCCTGCACGTATTTCAATAATTGTACTCATGTTCCTGAGTTTATGATCACTTCCTCCTGGCGCATATGATACAGTAGCTTGGACTGAGTTTATTCCACATGTAAATTTGTAGTTTAATTACAATCACTGTAACAGAGTATGGTAACTTGCCTGAGTCTTCATCAATTGTTGTTGAAATCGAAAGTGCAAGTATGACTTGGTCAAGTTCAAACTTGATAATTAACAGGCCACTGTTCTACTTACATACTACACAAGAAACGCTCGATCCATCAAAAGGCTGCAACCTGAAAGAGTGAACACTGAATGGTGAACAGTTCCATCAAAATGTGAATATGACAGCATCTGGACACACTGCGTGTGTGCATACCATCAAGGGATGGAAAAAGAGTGTCCTAGAATAGTTTATGAACACATGTGAGCATCATACCAATCTACTCACCTCATCAGTATGACCGTGTAGCCATGGCTAACCATACATGCAACAGAGTTTAAATGTCAGTTACGTGCTCAGACTCTTTGGTCAGGCAGGACTAACATGCAATCAACACATTTACAGGGTGGAAAATGATCCACAGGTTCTCCACGTGGATGGGTGAATTCACTACATCAATGGCAAGCCACAAGTCATTTATGCTACCCATGAACTTCTGTGCTTTGTTTGTAACTCATTCATGGACATTGTTAAGAACCATGTTGCTCAAGGGGGAGAGAGACTGACTCAGAGGGGCTTGGCCTCAGCTTGTATGCTGTGCCCCTTACCTGAGTATGTGCCCTTCATTTCGTATGAGGTCTGATGATGGTCCGACGAAGTCCAGAGGACTTCTGGAGGCTGGCTACTCTGCTGGAGAGCACTAGAGGACTTCCAGAGGAGCGCAGGAAATGTCCGGGGGAGCGCGGGAGAGTTCCGGAGGAATGCAGGAAGTGCTCAGGAGAGTTCCCACTGCAAGGTAATACTTCTACAGGAAACCGGGTGGAAGGATAGGAGGTCCAAAGGTCCAGAGGACAGGAGGACAGGAGGACAGGAGGACAGGAGGGCAGGAGGGCAGGATGATGGAGGACAGAAGGACAGGATGTCCGGAGGTATGAAGGACAGGATGTCTGGAGGTACAGAGGGCAGGATGTCCGAAGGACAGGAGGATAGGATGTCTGAGGGTTAGGAGGACGGAATGTCCAAAGGTACAGAGGGTGGAACATCTGAAGGACAGGATGCCCAGAGGTATGAGGGACAGGAGGTCCGGAGGTCCAGAAGGAATAGGGGCTACATCAGACTTCGTCCAATGTAGAAGCAAACAGAGGTAGACTACCCTAAGGTAGAGTCGGAGAGACAGGGATTGGACCTAGGTCCGGAAAGAGGGAAAGTGCCAGAAAGGCGGAGCTCCAGCCTAGGGAATCAATCCCTAGGCCTGATGGGTAGGACAGACTTAGGTGGACCAAAGTCTGAGAGAGGATTGGGCAAGTCTAAGTTGATATTCAAACTAGGGAACTACAGGAGTATCTACAGGGGTTATATACTGAACAATATCTGAGGGGATCAGTAAGCAAAGGAGCAAGGCTATGTATGAGCATGTGGAAACACATTAGTAAGTAAGACAGAACATAAGTAAATGAACTTGGAGATGAAGACTTGTACAAGGATCAATAAGCAAGATGGAAGAAGAGGTAACCGAAAGCCAGAAAGCAGAGAATGCCTTAATGGGGATAGGCGCAGGATATCAGGCAGAGGGTGGGAATAGGTCCAGAGCTAATATCCGGAGGTCTGGAGATCTGGGGATCCAGAAGACAAGGTGGATACAGGACCAGAATACAAGAAGGTGGATATAGTTCTGGAATCTGAGATGAGGTGAAGTCTGGATGTCTTGCTGGATGAAGTGCGCATAGGGTGGACAGGATAGGGTTGTATGGATCAGGCTAGCAGTGAGGATCAAATGGTCCGGAGCTCAGGGGTAAATCTGGAGTGTAGTTGATCCTGCTGAGGTGTGGAGCACAGCGGAAGGGGATCTTGGAATGAGCTGGATATGATGTGGGGTCCGGATGTAGGCTCGGAAGGCGTGGGAATATGATGGAATGTGGGTCCGGATTGTGGGATATGACAGACATGCCTGTTATGTGAGGCAGAGATAGAAGATCGAAGTAAAGGTGGTGGACTATCAAACAGCATCGCCATGCTTCAGCTTTTGGGGTTTGCTGTCCAGCTTATTGCCTGTCATGTTCAATCTTCCCTCACTTAACATATATACTCTGGCTATAAGCACTCTGCCCTATATTCCATATAGTTAGACAATGATGGTATTATCCAAGCATGTCCTATGTTAGAGTGGGGGACCCCTAGGCGAGGGGCAGAGTAGCAGCCAGGTAGCACCATAGCTTAGTCAGCCACTCAGTGTCCTTCAGGCTTTGTTGTAGCATAGTGCCCAGCACCACTTTGCCTTGCTTGCGACATGCAGGCCCACAGTTGCAAATACACCACTCCAACATCTCATCGCCAGACTTACCACATTGCACGTGTACTGTGACACTGTATATTTAGATTCCCTGCACCATCAGTGATCATGATGGCCTCAATGCACCTGTGCATGAGTGTCAGTGCTTAAACCCAGCTTATTACAAATGAATTAACACACTTTCAAAACAGCAGAATGAACAAACACCATTATACATGAGTATGAGGACTAGCGCATGAACCTGCCCCATCATGCATGCATTGACACATGTGGTTGCACCCATCAAAAGAGAGCAGAATGGACAGATGATATGCCCTCAACTTCGCCATGACATTCCTATCCTGTGCTGCCATCTTCTTTCCTGCTGTTTGTATATCACTCCTAAGTTTCAAGGTTACCTATAACCTTATACTCAGTATCATTGGCCCCCCATCCTACGACACCTTGAGGGGCATTCTCTTGAACTGCAGCTCAACTTTGTTTGTGTGCACATGGACTGCCATCTATCTGGACATTCCAGGTATGGACAAGGGGGTAGTTGCTACTACCTTTTGTCATCTGCTCTTCATGGTTATTGTGTGGCTCACCCCTGAACTTGTGCTCACCTGGGCCTCATACCAATCTTCCTGTGCTCAAATAGTTGCAAAGGCCTTCAATGATGCCTTTGATGCACAACACACCCAGCCCCATGGCAATCATGGAGCCATATGGCAGGGTGAGCTGGCACTTATGCTACTCAGTGATATCCCAGACTCAAGCAGAAGTTCAAGCGAAAGTCATTTACTCTCTTCAGTCAGGCAGAAACTAGTGTGAAACTGATACCTTCACAGGATGGATGGTAATGCATGGGTTCTTCGCATGTATGGGTGGATTTATGCTCTACATCGATGGTGAGCCACAGGCCACTCTCACATCTGATGAACTCCTGTGGTTTGTTTGTGAGGGATCTGTGAAGATGCCTATCATCACAAAGGCAGACATAGAAGACTGAAGCAAGAGTGATGTACTAGCTAGATGTGTTGCTATTCTTTGGCTGGCATGGTTCATCATCCAATTTATGGTCTGCTACCAATGGGGCCTCCCAGTGACATTGCTTGAAATTGACACTCTGACTGTAATTGTGCTGACCTTCCTTGTCTATGGCTTGTGGTGGGAGAAGCTGAAGGACGTATGATATCCTCATATTGTTCATTGGAATTCGGACATAACTACTCCCCCACCATGTGACAGCTTAACCCACAAGTACATCATTGTCATCAATTTTCCTGGCAGAACTTGCTCTGATTGGCCATTCTATGTAGAAAAGGGTATAGCTGTTAAGAACCATGCTCAAAGGAGAGAGAGACTGACTCAGAGGGGCTTGGCCTCAGCTCGTACGCTGTGTCCCTTACCCGAGTATGTGCCCTTCATTTCAGAGGAAGTCTGGAGGAGTGCGGCAGAGTTCTGGAGGAATGCAGGAAATGCTCAGGAGAGTTCCCACTGCAAGGTAATACTTCTACAGGAAAACAGGATGGAAGGATAGGATGTCCGGAGGTCCGGAGTATGGAGGACAGGAGGTCCGGAGGTATGGAGGATGGAATGTCTGAAGGTATGGAGGGCGGAACATCCAAAGGACAGGATACCCAGAGGTATGAGGGACAGGACATCCGGAGGTACAGAGGACAGGAGGTCCGGAGGTCCGGAAGGAATAGGGGCTACATCAGATGAAGTCCAATGTAGAAGCAAACAGAGGTAGACTACCCTAAGGTAGAGTCAGAGGGACAGGAAGTGGACCTAAGTCCAGAAAGAGGGTAAGTGCTGGAAAGGCAAGACTCCAGCCTAGGGAAGCAATCCCTAGACTTGGGACAGAGACATAGGGGACAAATCCGAAGGTCTGGAATTCTGGCCTAGGGAATCCATCCCTAGGCCTTATGGAAAAGGACAAACTCAGATGGACTGAAGTCTGGAAGAAGATTGGGCAAGTCTAAGGTGTGAACAGGATCTAAGATGATATTCAGACTGAGGACTCTACTGTAGTTGTACAGGGGTTATATACTAGAGGCTATCTGAGAGGATCAGTAAGCAAAGGAGTAAGGCTATGTATGAGCATGTGGAAACACATTGGTAAGTAAGACGGAACATAAGTAAATGAACTCAGAGATGAAACTAGTACAAGGATCAATCAGCAAGACGAAAACAGAGATAACTGAGAACCAGAAAGGGGGAGATGCCTAAATGGGGATAGGCGCAGGATCTCAGATAGAGGGCGGGAATAGGTCCGGAGATCTGGGGATCTGGAAGGCAGGATGGAAACAGGACTGAGATATGTGAGGTGGTGGATGTAGTCCAGAATCTGAGAGGAGGTAAAGTCCAGATGTCTTGCTGGACAGAATGTGCGTAGGGTGGACAGGATAGGGGATCCAGGAATGAGTCGGATATGGGGTCCGGAAACAGGTCCGGAAAGCGTGGGAATATGATGGGATCTATGTCTGGCATACGGGATATGACAATAGCCCATTAATATTAAGGCTTGCATCTCTACTATTCGACCACAGGATTTGACAGTCGAGTATCTCAACCTGGACTGTGACCAGTTTCTTTGGTCATGGATGTGTCTATGGGATGATATTTGGATACTTTCATTGCAATACCATAATGGAATTGAATGTCTTCTTTCCGAGCCACATGGAGCAGATATTGTGGCGTTTGGCTTCCATTGGGATAGTATGTTTGTGTTTACTGTTAGCAGTGTTGTTCCTCTGTTTCTGTCTGGCTGGATATTTGGACATACTGCCTGCAGTGGTGTACAACATATTACTGAACAAATCTGAACATTCACTTTCAGCTAAATTTGTGGAGATACTTAGAATTCTCATCATGTTATACATTCCTATGCATATTACAATGATTGTACTTATGATACTGAACTTATGATCACTATTTCCTTTCATATACTAGTATACAGTGCCTGGTTATTCCACACAGGTCTGGTCAATTCTAAAATGTTGTTGTTGATGTTGAACTTGACCTTATTGCCATCCTCTCGTAAATTACATGCGCAGACCCTTTTGAGCAGGCAGAGTTCCAGCTATCAGTTCTTGAAGTGGGAGCAAATTGAAAGAGTGTAAGATGAATCTGACATTGGAAAAGTCGGAGTGCACATCTACACTCGTATCCTCCCAATGCCACTGTTGTCATCAGCCATCTAGCAAGTCTTTATAACATGTGCCCTGTTGGTGAATGCAGGGCAATAAACATGTGTGGTAGGATAGATGGCCGCTCAGAACGCTAAATGCCAAGAGCTATCACTGGAAAGATGACAGAGAAGAGACATACAGTGGTTCGCTTTGATGGCATTTATTCTCCATCCAATGGTGGCCACACAAATATGGATAGATTGTGCACAACACGCACAGGTCACAATGGTGTGTGGGTGTGAGAGGGGTCTGTATAGTCCATTGAGTTTTCTACATAGGACGATCGACAAACAGACAGTGAACTTATGAAACTGTCAAGGACAAAATGCCTTGAGCAATGCAAACCGATTGCCATAGGGACCCAAGTTTGAAGAGAACCAAAGGCAATCTGGTCATGAATGCAAGACACCACATGCTAGTGGTACCACATATCAAGAACAGAAAACTCACTCATTTTTGAATGAGATCATCCAAAAAATGAATGAGCTATTGGTTCTTGAAGTGGGAGTGAAGAGTACAAGACGAGTATGGTGTTAGGGAGGAGTAGACAAATGATGAATTTATAGCAGTTCATCCCAAACATCATCCTCACCAGCATCGTCAGCCATCCATGATACATTAGTGGTATTCAAAGTAAAATTTTCAATGTTCTGAAATGATTCTGAAATGTTATGAAATGCTTCAGAATCGTTCTGAAAGATGTTCAGAAAATCCACTCGAAAAACTTAATTTAAACTCTGTTCGAAACACTTAGCTGCTTCAAATGCTTCAAACTCTCCAAGTCCCCACATTAAGGTTAGGGTTAGATGCATGCACAGACAAAAAAAAGCGCCATGTTCATATATTTCATAGCTAGCAAAGACAAACTATTCTAAACCAAGCTAATGCAACTATGAAGTGTCAAGCATCAAACTATGCACACGGCACATGGCAAACCTCAAGTACAAGATGATGCTTTGAGCATCAAATCACATGCATGGCACACCATGAACCTTGAGCACATTCATCAGTGTGGAAATAGGAGTACCATCAACAGACAAACCTCCAAGCTGCATGAGTGCAGCAGTGGATGGTCCGGTACTAGGTAGGCACATGAGGTGCACAATATAGTGCTGGGGATATATGCAAGACAACGTGATGTAGCTCTGGTGGGGATGCAAAAAGAAGACGGCATGTGCTGGCAAGTCCCTCTGATGGGAAGTAATGGTGTTGCACAGTAGGGAGAAGCCGGTTGTGATATCAGAAATTGATTCAGGCTCAGCTGTCTGTCTTGTGGGGATGGGACTTGTGTTGAGATGATGGTGGAGATGAGGGGAAGTAGGTGTCTGGAGGTGCCATAAGAAATCATCTGGGTCTGCCTCTGAGTGGAACACAATAACATGAGGTTTGAGCAGGAAGAGGTGCTTGTTGTAGGCATGATGGTCAGCATCAGTGTGTCATAGGTAGGGTGCTCGTTGCATGGCACAGTGCAGGTGGCAGAAACACACACTGCCTAAAATTGAAACTCCGCTTAAAAATCACTTAGATCAGATCAGTACTACATATAATAACAAGATAACAGCCCACCCACCATGCCTCGCCAGTCTTGCCATCAAGAATTACTCAATAAAATAGATACTGCTACCTTAGATGTTGCAAAGGCCTGGGTTGGGCATGCTATAGCAGAAGCAGGTCTTAACTCCTCTGGCTCAGAGGATTCTGTTATCAAGACCCCATCACCACTCTCACCTATGTCACAGACATCTGATGGTTCTGGCATATCAGATGGCTCCATTTTGATTCATCAAGAATATGCTCATATTATTGGATCTCTTACTGCTCTTCAGGATGAGGTGCAGATGGCACATGTCCTTCACATTCCTGATGAACCCCCTATGTGGGCACCACAGATCCAGCTTCTCGACCACTTTGCTATCCATCGCCCTGATCTATTCTGGGCAAAGCTACGTGTCAACCCTGATATATTTGATGATATCCTTGATCAAATCAGTGATGACCCTGTCTTCTATAATCAGTCCAATAATCCCCAACTCCCTGTTGCTATACAACTTGCCATCTTTCTTAATTATGCTGGCCACTATGGCAATGCAGCTTCAAATCAGGACATCTGCCAGTGGGCAGGCATTAGCATTGGGTCTGTCACAAACTGCACTAATCGTGTTATGACTGCCCTGCTTAGACAGCATGATAATTTTATCTGCTTCCCTGCTCTTGATTCCAATGAGGCTGCATGTGCCTGTCACTATGTTCAGTCCAAGTCCTGCCCAGAGTGGAGGAATGGAATTCTGGCAGTTGATGGATCCCTATTCAATCTCTTTCAAAAGCCAGGCCACTATGGAGAATCATTTTATACCAGGAAGTCTCAATACTCTCTCAACTGCCAGGTGTGTTTTATTTCTTATTTGACACCAATTTTTCTGATTTAAAAAATATCTTAGGCAGTCATCCTACCTCACAATCTCACTATAGTGGATTATTCCATTGGTCACACTGGTAGTACACATGATGCATTTGCATTCCAATCTACTCGTGTCTTTCAACAGCATGCAACACTTCTTGAGGATGATCATTGGATTTGGGCAGATAGTGCTTATCTCCTAGAGACATGGTGCATTCCCCCTTTCAAGAAGCCTCCTAATGGGGCCTTGACCAGTGACCAGAAGGCTTTTAACACTGCCCTATCCAAGGTATATCTATTATTTTTATTTATTCAATTTCCTGATGTTCATTAAATATTTTTAGATTCGTGTTCAGGTGGAACACACATTTGCTGCTCTCAAAGGCTGCTTCCAGTCTCTCTGGGAGCTGAGGCACCCATTGCAGAATGATGACCAGCTTCAGTTCCATTCCTACTGGGTGATATGTTGCATCATCCTTCATAACATGATTATTCACTTTGAAGAAAATTATAACATCTTTAATGGTGAAGGTAGTACTTCTAATTGGGCTCTTGGGGTTGAGGGAAGAGACCTTATCCCTCCCCCAGAGCTACCAGACCCTGATGTAGGCCTTGTGGGTGACACCTCATATCTTGGCACCCCTGGCCATGCAGCTCGTGCAAGGTTGATGCAGAATTTGTTGGGGTAGTATCTCACACAGGAATCCTACAAGACACAAGACAAGACAACAGATAGCTCATGTATTACCATAGAAACATAGGAGGCATGTAAGACATATAACTCGATATAAGAATGACATGTACACAAATGTAAGACCTGAAATACAACAAAGAAACAAGAACAGAAAGAGCACATACAACAGGGTGATGACAATGAACAAATGATGGTAAAACGATGATGCCACAACATGACGACAACAGTAACATAACGACGGCAGCACCCTTACTCATGCTGAGGCTGCACCCCCCTTCAACTTGAGGAGCTTGATCTCAAGCTGCAGGGCAGCCTGTTTCTCCATCTGAACTTTGGCCTGGGCCTCAAGCAGTTGAAGCTCCAAGGCCTTTGCCTCTTGCAAATGCTGGTGGATGGCAGCAGCCTCATCACATTCTATCTCAGCCTGCTCACATTGAAATTTGATGTCACGTTAATGTCGGTCAGCATTGACTTTCACAATCTTGTACTCCGAAGCGGCCGCCTTCACAGTGTATATGTAGTTCATACCATCAGCGAGCGACTGGACCTGACCCTGGACATCCTGCATATTGGAATCAACACACTTCAAGAGGGAGGAAGACTTTTGGGAGGCGGCAGGTCTGCGAGCAGATGATGATGGTGATGTTGATGTGTGCGAGCATGAGTGTGACGATGACACCAACAATGACAATGACAGGAGAGAGGATGGTGGCTTGGGTGTGCGGATGGTACCACGATTAAGAGCACAATCTGTGTGTGTCTGAAATTTTCTGCAGGAGGGAAATTTAGGGGTGCAGGGAGTGTATGTAGGGGGCGGTGAGGGGGATGGGTAAGGGTGCTTGTTAGATATACATATTTGGATGGCGTGATCGTCCCCCTGTTCAGCCAGCTCAAAATTGTCATCCCCAACATTGTCCCATTGCTGGACATCCATGTCATCATTGGCATCATTGGAGAGGGTATGGGGGAGGGGAGGGTTGACTTGGGGGATGTGGGAGGAACAGTCAATATTGTTGGGGGAGGGAGTCTCATCCATGAATTCATCAGGGGAGGGAAGGGGGAGAGCTTTCTCCTTACCCTTCCCTTGGGTGAGCGGAGGCAAGTCTGTGACATTGTTCATAAGGTCACCCTCAGTGTCCCCAACAGTATCATAGGGATCAGGGGGAGGGGGCGCTATTTCTTTGCCCTTGCCTTTCCCTTGGGTAAGGGCAGCCATGCCACTGGCGTGATCCACACCAGGTGCAGACAAAATTGTCTTTGGCACAAACACTGGATTGCCCTTCCAAAGGGCATCGGGTGCATTGAACCAAGGGAAGTCAGCTAGTACTTGTTCTATAATTTTTTGTAGCATAATTTAATAAATTTTAAAAAATAAACCCTACCTCAAAGATTTTGTGCACCAGTGGCATCAAGTGGGTTGATGCCAGCACTGGTCTGCAGAAAGCGAGCACAATGTTTCTTATATTTGTTTCTGAGACTAGGAATTGTCAGTTAATTAATACATAAGAAGGGGGGGAAATACATACTAGTTAAGATGGTTGCTCACTGCAAGTGCAAACTTGTGATTGTCTTGTGCATATACATTTTCATACTCTTCATCCTCTGCAAAAATAGTTTGAGCAATTGTTGCCCAGATATGACTCTTCTGGCTCCCCAAAGTTTCAGGTTCAGTTATTGTGGGATTGCAGGATTTTTTTGACTCATTGAAGAGCACATGGCAGGCGCCAGGATGAGTCTCAAGGAACTGTATGAGGGTATCAGTGTGATCAAAGTCACAGGTCTCCCATCTGACAGTAACCCTGCCAGCAGTGGTGGTAGGAGTAGCAGTGGCAGGAGTAGCAGTGGTGGGAGTAGCAGCAGGGGTAGCCATATAGTTAGTAGTGACAGCAGTGGACAGTTGCTGGATGGTGTTGGACACTATTGCACCCCCACCACCTCGTCCCCTCGTACCACGAGTTATACCTCCCCCCCTACTACCACGCGGGGGCCTTTGTGTAGCCATCTTCGTAGTTTTGATGCGCGCTTTGATTTGTTCTGAACGTCGTACTTGCGGACGTTGGGCAGGCATCCTGCATGCGTAGCATAAAGATTGGATTTCAGACCCCGCTTGGGTCTGCCGAACGTCCCGTAGATTCTGAAAGAAATTTGTCAAACTTACCCACGTTTTCAGAGCCTCCCAAATCCTACTTTGAATACCACTATTAGTTACATATGTCAAATTTCCGGAAAAGTCGAGGCTAACGTGCTCATTGCTAAGACGTCTAGCGTTGACTCCAAGGTAGGCCCAGTAAAATGAATGTCATATGGAGTCGCTAGTGTTGATAAATCTACCAGGGTATGATGCTCGTGTATAAGCTCAAGTCCAGACAATCGAATACGACCCGTGTCATTTGACCCGCCACTTTCGGGATACGAGCAAGTCAAATCCCAGCTTTTGGGTTTGAAGGCAGAGCTCAGGAGGGTCTTGGTATGGTGCGTTTTGACAACCTTTGCTTTCAGTCAGTCTTATCTTTGACAGTCATACATCTATATACTATAGCTCGAAGCTCTGCCCTCAGCACTAGAAGAAAGGAATGATTTTGACAGTCCGCATGTTCTGAAGGCTGAGCGTCTTGCATTCAACCTGGCATAGTCTCGCTAATCGTTTCCGCAACACTCTCGATCAAACACTCCTCATGGCGTGGGCGCAACCAGACTCGTATAGAATGGTCCGGCCCCTTTGTTCGCGTCGTTTTCGTATCGTTTGCACTATGAAATGCATCGGATTCTACATTTTGTCTTCATGTGCTAATGATGAGTGCTACGAGCATCACAGGATGTTTTGTGCCCTTAGATCTTGAAACGATTGCGTCCTATGACCGTATTACGATGGGAGCTAGTCTGAGACTACACTTTGAAGCCACACACATTACTGGTGTACAACTCAATCTACTGTTGTTCTTGTTGTTCACTCACAACTCTGCTAGTTGGGGAGACGTAGATTTCATCGCAATTCTTTGTGAGCCTTACTCGTGATGGATAGTGCGGCGCGCCTGAAACACTCAGGTACGTCACACTGGAGAAGACCGCGAGACATAGGGTGCAACAGAAGTCTATTACATAATATCAACTCTCTTCAATCGAAACGTATATTTCAATTTCCTGTGCCGTCAGTGATATCGAGGCATGCACGTGTATGAGCACCGGTGCTTGAACCTGACCAGGCCTGACTTACCATGGATAAATTGATGACACAAGTGGAAGTTCGAGCGCTCCTATACCTGCGGTATTGTTTAAACGTGAGTCATGTGCTCAGACTCTTCAGTCAGGCAGGACTCGCATACAACTGATGTTTTCATAGGATGGACAATACTGACTCATGGGTTCTTTGCATAGATGGGTGGATTCGTACTCTGCGTCAATGGTAAGCCATTGGCTAAGGGCCACTATTACTTCCGATGAGCTTTGGCGCTTCTGAAGCTCAGATCCATGAACATGCCTGTTATCGGAGGCGGACTCGGAGATAGAAGATCGAAGTAAAGTGATGGACTATCGAATGGCATCGCCATGCTTCAGCCGGTATAATTCGCTGTCATGCTCATCACCCGTTACGTCTAGAACTATCCGATAACCTCGCTTAAAATCGACACTCTTGCTGTTACCGCTCTGACCTGCATTCTGTATGGCTGGACAATGATGATACTATCCAAGCTGGGCAAATGAATGTATGTCTTGGATCTCATCAGATTTTTTATTAAAAACATATTTGTTGTCCTTGGAGGTCGAAGACCATATGCCCGATTCGCGGGGGACTTACATCCGCTCATCTATCACTGTCAGACTTAGCGCTTTCATATCATGACACGGTATATTTAGAATCCCTGTGGCCTCGAGGCATGCACGAGTGCATGAGCGTCAGCGCTCGAATCTGGCTTAACACGTATGAAACACGTCGCAGCCCTTCAAAAGAGAGCAAAATGAACAGACGCTATGCTCCCAACTTTACCATGACCCTGCTACTCTGCGCTGTCCTCCTCTGCGTTCCGTTTGTTTGCGCTTCACTGCCAGGTCTCAACGATACCCATATCCTTACATTCGATGCCAGCGACTGTCCATCCCGCAACACCAGGACATTGTGGGACATTATCTCGAGTTGTGGCTTAACTTTGTTTGCATGCACATGGACTGTCATCCATCCAGACATTCCTGATAAGGATGAGAGGATAGTTGATACTGCCTCTCGTCGTCTACTCCTCATGCTTACGGCGTTTCTGGCCCCTGAATATGTGGTCGGATGGGCCGCATGGCAGTTTTTAAATGCTCGCCGAGTTGCGAAAGCCTTCAATGATGAACTTCGTGTGCAACCAGCCCAGCCCTACTGCTACCGTCGAGCCATATGGCAGAAGCTGGTAGTTATGTTACTTGGTGGAAGTAGAAGTTTAAGTGATGGTCAGTTACACAGTCAAACTCTTCAATCAGGCAGAAACTGACATAAAACCGATGCCTTGACAGGATGGACAAAGACGCATGGGTTCTTTGCCTGGATGGGTGGATTCATGCTCTACGTCGATGGTGAGCCGCGGGGCATTCTTACGCCCGATGAACTCCTGCAATTTGTTCGTGACGGATGCGTGGAGATGCCTGCCATCACAGAGGCAGATATAAAAGATCGAAGCAAGGGCGATATGCTATCCAAATGGGTCGCCATTCTTCAGCTAGTGTGGTTCGTCATCCAGCTCATCGCCCGTTACATCCAGAACCTCCCGGTAACACTGCTCGAAATCGACACCCTGGGTGTAGCTGCTTTGACCTGCATTTCGTATGGCTTTTGGTTAAATAAACCGAAGGACGTACGGCTTCCTTATATTGTTCATTGGAAGGACCCAACTGCTCCTCCACTGCCTGATAGCTTAGACAGCGAGTACGTCATTGTCATCAATATTCCTGGTAGGACTTGTTCTGACTTGCCTGCATTCTACGTAGCAAAGGTCAAACTTTTTGGCTACTATTCAACTACAGGACCCGACTGACTGGTGGCCTGACTCCGGACAAGATCACAATCATTATTGGATGCATCAGTGGGATGGCGTTTGGAGTGATACATTGCCTAGGCTGGAATTTTTTGTTCCCAAGACACGCAGAGCAGATATTGTGGCGTGTGGCTTCCATCGGGATACCATTTACATTCTCAGGAATTCAACTTCCTATGCTTTATAGTGTTCTGGACAGGTTTCTGCGATCGGTGATGATTTATATGCAGACACCGGAAAGGCTACCGCCGGAGTTGGTCGATGGACAGACATCAGAAGGACTGCTACCGCGGTTGACCAATCTCAGCAGGTGGATATCTTTCGGACGCTCGCGCTCGCAGGATGATGTTCCAATTTCAAGGTACATCATGGTCTATTACATTCCTGCACGTATTTCGATAATTGTACTTATGATGCTGAGTTTACGATCACTTCCTCCTGGCACATACGACACAGTAGCTTGGTCCAAGTTTATTCCACATGTAACTATGTAGTTTCATTACAATCGCTGTAATGGTAACTTGCTTGAGTCTTCATAGATCGCTGTTGAAATCGAAAGTGCGAGTACGACTTGGTCGAGCTCGAACCCAATAATTAACAGGCCGCCGTTCAACTTACATACTACACGAGAAACACTTGATCTATCCACCTGAATATAGGCGAGTCCAGTTCCATCGAAACGTGGCTACGACAGCGTCTGGACACGCTGCGTGCGTGCATGCCATCGAGGAATGAAAGAACAGTCTTCATATTATGCACTTCTCTCGATGACTACAGGGCGATAAAAATCTGTGGCGGGATTGATAGTGGTTCGAAACGCTACGAAAAAATTATCGCTGGAAAGACAACAGAGAAGAGACATGTGATGTTTATTCTCCATCCAACCATGGCAGCACGAATATAGACAGATCATGCACAGCGCATGTGGGTCCCAACAATGTGTGGATGCGAGGGTCTGTATGATCCATTGAGTTTTCAAAAGACGGTCGATAAACAGACGACGAACTCACGAATATGCCAAGGGCACAAAGCCTCCAGCAACGAAAAACCGACTATCATGGGACCCAAGCTTTGGAGAGAACCAAAGGCAATCTGGTCATGAATACAAGACGCCACATGCTAGTCGTACCACATATCAAGAACAGATGACTCGCTCATTTTTGAAGGAGAGATTATCCCTAAAATGAACGAGCTATCCGTTCTTGAGGGTAGTGAAGAGTGCGAGACGAGTATGGTGTTGGGAATGGGCAGACAAATTATGATATCATACCCAACCATCCCGAACACCATCCTCGTCGGCGTCGTCAGCCGTCCATAAAATGGGTATTGTTCCACCATATGTGGGCACGTTCTGATGAAGAATGTTGACGTTGAGGTCGATGCATGACGATGAAAATGTCCCCTCGAAACGCTGAATACGAAAAATTATGGCTGGTAAGGTCAAGTGGGGAAGAGACGTACGGCAGCTCACCTTATTCCCTACACCGGTAAATTACTCGGAGGCCACGCGAACTTGGAATGATCTTATACGATAGCGGAATCCCAAGTAAGGAGCAGATGAATGCCAAAAGCGGAGAGTAGGCTGTGATAAATCGAATTCATTAGGACAGTCAAGCGATGCACAACAAACTCACTGTGTTCAGATAGATGTGGAGATATGAAGCCTCGATATAAAGCCACAAATTATGACGAGCATGACTTGAGCGATCCTATATATAATGATACACATCATTGAAACTCGCAGACAAGGCTGTAGTGCATGTGACCCGAGTACAAGTGTCGTCCAGCGGCACTCGGAGCGTTTGTACCAATATTAATGGTCCGTCTGATTCGAGGTAACTTGGATGAGGGGGTGGATGGATTGAGAGGTAAAACCTAGATACGTCGTCAGTCGATTTGCGAATGCATGGGGGTTTATATAATGAATGGAAATCAACGAAACAAACATCAAGGAGGATCAGGAGGTGTCCAATCAGAGTCGCGTTTTGGCATCCAATGCACAGGTCCCACGCAGATCGGGACGGGAGATTTGAGTTTGAAGAGATACATATGATGAGAA